ATCTTTGTGGTTGGGCAGACACTGCTTTACTAAATGAGTCATCTCCCTAGACTTCTCTGTTGAGTGGTTCTTTAATGACACACATTTATTCTTCACCATCCTCTGGCTTCAAAACAAGAGGACCATCTGACACACAAAAATATCTATTTTGAAACTGAATAGCCACTGTTATCATTTTGCATGTTTAATACATTTATTTAAATTAGGAACAATCTTATTTTAAATATCAATCCCAGTTCCCTCTCCCTCCCATCTTCCCATGGCCCCCACAAACCCCTCCATCCCGCCCTCCATCCACTCCCCATGTCGCATTAATTTTTAAATGAGAGTTGTGTGTGTGTGTGCTTGAAAGAGAGAAAGAGAGAGAGAGAGAGAGAGAGAGAGAGAGAACACATGCATGCATACACACTCTCACATGCTTTGATGGCTAGAAAATTTGATTCCAAAGCAAAAGTAGAGAGCTCTTTTAGTGGCTTGCAGGTCTCTGATCACGTGCAAACCACAGCTTGCAGAAACATGGAATTTAACGTTTTCTAGTTCTTAGTACTTACAACTCAGAATTATCTTCTTCAAGCAAGTGATGAGTCAAAGAGATACATGCAAGTAGAACTTTTGCTGACACATAATTCCTGTTTCTTCCCAAGCCTTAGTCATATTTTTTAGAACAGATAAAAGACCACAAAAATTACAGTTCCTAGGCCGGGCCTAATAACGATGTGCTGGCCTCATCTTCCCCAGCTGGCATTTCATCTCCACCAAGGCCCTAAGCCGGGTACTCTGTTTCCTTGCATTGGAAATGAAGAAAGGGTTATAGATTTCTTTGCCCCAAAGCAATCTTCTAGAGAAAGCAATTGTTCCCTCCACATCAGTATTTTATCAGAAGCAAGACTTTAATGGAAAAATAAAAGGAAATGAATCCTGTTCTCCCAACTGCTCAGCAGGCATGTATTCCCAGTCTTTGTTTTTCCCCCAATGGCACGTCTCTGGATCTTAAAATGTGTAGTTTTCTAAGAAGAAACTTGGTGTTTAAGGAATGCTTTTTCAAAAACATGAACTACCTTTGCTCCCATGTTTTTCCTACATGCAGATAATCTTGTCAATTTTTGTCACATGCCCATCATCTTAAATGAATTCTGTTGTTGTTTTCATTTTATAGGGAATTTATATTGACCTTGATACCAATCCTTCCTATCCACATGGCTGAAATTACAACACTGGGTTTCCTTTCATAGCCAAAAATCAAATAGAAAATAACAGCCAACAGAAAGATCAAACTCATTATGTGTTCAGTAACACTATGACAACAATCCACAGCCAGCTCTGTCAGACTTCAAGGATATTTTAAGTGTTCATCTGCCAAACACTTTTAAAGCATCGCCTTTGTTTCTATAGGACAAAAGTAGTTAAAGACTGGTTCACGCAGTGTTACGATTTTCACATATATTCAAATAGATTTCGAGATACACTGCCACGAAAGCAGAAGCTATCTTTTAATTTTACTTGAAACTATAATGTTGCAACTAAGATTGTTTGCTTCATCTTAAAAAGCAGAAACTTTGTGCCAATTGTATCATTACCCTCACATTGTAACACACAGTGCTGAGGAAGTTACAGAGCTTAGCACACAGACATCACTTCTTCCATGGTACAGGAGTCAGATGATGGGTAATGGGAAGGGCCACAATTAAACACCGCTTTAATTTGGGGGGAATATTTTTGTATTCAGAAATCAATGTGTTTACATAGTTATATATAAAGATGGTGAGACAAATACAGAGGAGAACCAGGCCATTCCATCTCTGACCATACAGGACTCAGGAAAGGGCTAACCCAAACTAAGCACATTATTTCAGACATACTTCCTAACTAGTCTCCTTTATCAGTCACAACTGAAAATTAGCTCTGACTCAAACATCTTTTTAAAAACACATTCTAAATCTGCTTCTATTGTGTGAATAATGTGGGGGAGGGGAGAGCTGAGGACCCGGCCTTGGAAAAAATGCTGCTAGAAACTCTGCCCTGCTTCCTCCTGAGCACCTTGAAAATGAAAATCTCTGTGTCTTCCAAATGACAGCCACCTTGCTGTGGATCCAAAATAGCTCTCTCAGCCAGAGAGCTGTCTGTCAGTGAGAGTTCTGACAGACACATATTTGGCATTCAGAAGGAAGGCAAGAAGTGGTCACAGGAAGGACTGTCCTCCTGGAAGAGCAAGGGATGTTTGGAAAACAGTGCCCCTCCTAGAAACCTCCAAGAGACCAACGGGCATTTCTGGAAATGAGAGAGAATTCTGATAGAGAATGAAGCCAGAAAAGTGGGTGTTAAGTCCATTTCCACCATTAGCTCTTGTAGATCTTCAAAAGGCCATGACTAGACATAAAATGCACCAAACTGGAAATGTGTTAAAGGGAGCAAATAAACACATTTACATGCATAGGATTTTCGCTCCCTCTAGTGGCGGGGTGAAGGCCTATGAAATGATAGCATGTCATTGCATAATACAGCTTTATAAACGGGGATGGGTTTCCACTGGAATGCCCTTTGTAGAGAAAGTAGGACATTCTTTAGGTGTCCTCACATCTCAATAGTGATTTCAAAAACTGGCCTGAAACTCTGTGTGAGGTAGTGAACTGCCTCCCCATGACGTTGTCTATGGGTGAGGTGGGAAGGCTCTCAGTCTTTCTTTTCCCCTCTGCAGTCCTACCAAGGGGGAAAGAACGTTGCATTCACAGCAATTTACTGATCAGAAAAACCACCCAAGGAGCTAAAGGAGAAGGAACCAAACAGCAAAGGGAGAAAACATGGGGGCTCAGAAGAGAGACACTCTTACCTAGGACCTAATGGGTGATAGGGGTGATACGAGCACAATATAAAAGGAACTACTCAGAGACAAGTTTTGAAACAGTTTTTCTATCTTTGTGTTCCAGTCACTTTCATTTCCTCCATTTTCATCTTTAGTTATGAGAAAGTATTTCTGCTGTAGCAATTCAGATTACTCACTGGAAGTAGATAGAAAAGTAGAAAGCACAGAAGAAAAAAATGATGATAATTTAAAAATTTTATTTTTGTATGTATGTTTGAGAGAGACATGGGTGGTTGAGTGCTGTGTGTAGGTATCTGCAGAAATCAGAAGAGTGGGTCAGACCTTCTGGAGTTGGAGTTACAGAGAGTTGTGAGTCACTGGACATGAGAGCTGGGAGCCAAACTCAGGTCCTCTGAAAGATCAGAAAGTGCTTTTAACCGCTGAGTTATTTCTTTGTCCAGTTTAAACTTTATTTTTCCAAATGGAGGGACTATATTACATAATACCACAACTTCTTGCGAATAGGAATTGTAGCTGTCTAATCTGTAGGTTAGTGATCAATAACTGAAATCAATCAGTGTGAAATATGCAGAGTACATATCTTTTCTTTCTCTATACTCAGGCATCAATAACTTCTGCTGGATTGCTCCTCTTGGAAATTTCCAAGGCAATCAAGCACTTCAGGTTGCAGAGAAAATGGGTTCCTTTTCTGGCTGCCTTACCTTATATTAGATACTCAGATACGTATATCAGAAACTCAGAAGTTACCCCCCCCCCTGTTTTTCATCCAGTCTCTCATTCTCACCTTACATATCTGCTGGACATGGGTGTTTTACTTTATCCCTTATCACCACCCCAATACATCATCTCTTTTCTAAAGAACATACCTTCTTGGGGCTGGAGAGATGGCTCAGTGGTTAAGAACATTGGCTCTTCTTCCGGAGGGAGGACCAGGGTGCAGTTCCCAGCACCTAAATGGCAGCTCACAACTGTCTGTAACTCCAATTTCAGAGAATCTGACACACTTACACAGATATATATATGCAGGCAAAACACTGATCAATGCTCATAAAATAAAAATAAATAATTAAAAAAGAACATACCCTCTCAACAGCATCCACTGCCTTTTGTAAAATACTTTCTCCACACTGCACTACTTCAAATATTTTTGAAGTGCCTACTATGGAAATACTGTGATGAATAGCATACAAGGATCTGTTGAAATGGAAGATAAACATTAGATGGCTATTAGGTACTATGTGAAGAGTTAAAACTGGATGATAAAAGTGAGGACTAGTCTAGACTAAGTTTTTTTTTAAAATCATCTAGAATTTCAACGAAGGATATGAAGGATTTTGTGTGGTTTTGCCTTGCTGAGGGTGGAACCCAGCACCTTTTACATGGTAGGCAAAGGCTGTACCACTGAGCAGTATCTTCAGTCCAGGATGAGTTCCGAAGTCAAACAACAAAAGAAATCAATCGAGGTGATGTTGTTTCCTACCAGGCTTTTAAACATAATTGTTTTAGATGCTGGCTGAGAAAAAAAATAGTAAGTCAAAAAGCACATAAAAGTTTAATTTAGGTCTGTCTCCAAGCACCTTTCATTGTTTAAATATAGTGCTTTTATGCCAATGTGAAAACATCTTATTTTTTAAAACTTATTTTCGGTATGTTCCTCTCCATAAAATGTCAATTCTATAAATAACAGCCATAAAGTCTTGCTTCCGACTACATCACGATGCCTGAGAATTGTACTAGGTCTATAGCAGGCATGCAAATAAATACTGGTTGAAATAATGCACAAATTAGTGTATGAAGTGTGTGTGCTAGCAGACAGAGAAAATAAATGTTTTTAGGCATCCAGGAAGTCTTCATGGTGATATCAGGGTCATTTGTTTCAGCTCACAGGCTTAAGCGGGCTATAAAATCCTTGGTGAGGCTTCCCTGCTTTGGCTCTCCCTCAACAAGCTGTCAAACTCACACTTGCTTTACAGCCGCAAACCTCTCCAACTCCCCGCTAGGAGGAGTCACACAGAACCCAGAAACCCTCCCACTTCTCTGGTTCTCTTTCCTGCCCCTCCCCTACAGATTTCCGGCAGCCTTTTAGTTCGTTTGCCGGGAATAGTAGTCTTCCGGTCCAAGCCTACAGCGTTGCGGAGCATTGCCAGAACTACGCTTCCCAGAAAGCCTCGCGGCAGAGGGAGGCTAGATCACCTGACCCGGACTCCCGAGATGCAATGGCGGCGTCCGTGCTGCGTTTGATCTATCCTGGAAGACGCTGGGCTTTAGCGTGGATTGACGGCGGTTCCCGCCAGCGAAGTGGGACTCAGACTGGGCCCGCGTCCAACTGGGCTAGGGGACAGAGTTCAGTGGCTCAACTTTCCCTCCACACGGCTCAGAAGCCGAGGAAAGGGTATATAATCTTCATACCTTTGCCTGTGTGGAACAAGACGATGGCTCGGTAGCCCAGCCTGAGGGTTCTAGTGGCCGGGAGGGTTTTCACGTGTCTAACACGGACAGCTGAGGCCTAAATGAAAACACAAGCCAGTCTTGTCACCTCCACTCTCACACTTAAACTTCTGTCCTAAAGTCATGTTTGAACAAGGTGCCAGTATAAAAATAGTTTCCTCCATCCGTCTTCGCAGACAGATTCCGTCGTCGTCTTACTAACAAGGGGGGTTGGGGGGGGTGTTCTCTGACGCTATATTAGGCATGTATGTAGCAAACATTTGGAGTGACTATGGGCTAGCAATAATCTGAAGACAGAAAAAAGTTTTTGTACAAAGCTCCGATAGTAGAGCTTAATGTCATTTGAAGTTTTATTAGTCAGAAAACACTAGCTAGCTGTGATTTTATAATGAGTGTGTTCGTCGAAACCCAGTCTTCCTCCTGTTTATGTAAAGATTTGCTTATCACGAACAGCTGTTGAATGCTTCGGTATATGATTTAAAGCTGCCTTTAAAATACTGAAACATCAGACAGATTTCTAATATTTTGTTGAGGTTGACATTCTTTTAGTGTTTCAGTAAAGAAGAGAGGAAAAGTGTTTAAAAGAGTCTCATTTCTGTTCTTTTTAGAAATTAGACCATTTCCTTTCCATGCAATGAAACAGCAGAAACATTTTGATTAGTAATTAGAGAATGAAGAATTTCTTTATTTCCTCTCACTTGCAAACTTTGTTTCCAAAATGTAAGAAGGAATTAGTGTTTTTTCATTCGATGTAGAACTTCATGTATTGAAATGCATCTGGATACAAATCTGTATAGTATAAAAATTGCTTGGGAGAAGTGGAGAATGGGAACATACATAGATTTCATGTGGAACAGGGAATTTGTACAAATAGTCAGATAAGAGACATTTTGTAGCATTACTCAGATTTGCTAGCAATCAAGTATGAACAAATGAAAGAATTTAAAATTAGATCTCAAGAACTGAATGTGACTTGGAGGGTGAAAAAAATGTTTCCTCATGGTTTACTGGGTTTTTGTTTGGTTTTGGTTTTTTGTTTTGTTTTGTTTTACAAATTTTCAGGACTACTCTGTGGTGGTGGTCTATGGTATCTATGTGACCCTGCTCCTTGTATCTGTAAGCTGTTACATTCAAAATGTGGTTGATAATTTATGCTTTATCTGTTATTTCTCCAGTAGTAGAATCCTGGCTTTTGTGGTAAACCAAAATAATGACGAGAAAATAAACCTTTATTTATTAGCTAATAAAGTATTCACCAATAAAATGACACATTGTAAAATGTAAGCATATAAAAATTTAGTTTAAAAACACAAATAGAATGTTGTTATTATGTGAAATGTGGTTTATAAGAGTTTACATATGGTGACAGATTTAACTTTTAACCATTGTCTTTCTCTTTAGTGAACACAAATGGGCAGCTGTGGTAGGACTGGAAATTCATGTCCAGATTTCCTCCAACTCTAAACTCTTCTCTGGCGCTCAAGTGTGCTTTGCAGCTCCCCCGAATTCTTTGGTTTCTTTTTTTGATGCATCTCTGCCTGGAACTTTGCCGGTAAGGTATTTTATATAGTCTATTTTCATTGGAAAATGTTTATGCCATAGTGAATATGAATAAAAATCTCCTTATTTTAATATTTTGACTCACTCCAGGGAAATACTTGCTTAGGGAATTCTTGATTAAACATAATGCATTAATTGTTTACAAAGACTTGTCTCTGTAATTCTGTTTCTAAATCTGAATGTATTCATAGGTCTACTTACTCATTTCCCAAGCATTTGCAAGGGCCCATCCAACACCAACTACTTACAGGAACTGTCTGATTAAAAACAAGCAAAGATTCTTGCTTTATGAGGAGTTTAAAGATGAACAGTGCTGATATGCCTTACAAACAAGGAGAGTACAATATGATGACTCTTGCAAAGGCAAGAGGATGGTTTGGGGACCCAAAGCACTGATCCGTAATTGAGCAAGAGGAAGTACTATTGTGAGAAACTATAATGGTATATTTAGTTAAGGAAGGATGGTATGTTTGAGGTATTTGAGAAGTCAAGTAGGAGTAGACCTATACATGGGGGGGATTCAAAGAAAAGAACACATATTATGTGACTTCACAGTAGATCACTAGTAACTGTGGTTTTAAAAATCTAAGAAGCAGTCATGAATTAAGAAAAGAGACAACTGCAGTATGAAGAGAGCTGATTATTGGTTTGGCTACTCATTTTCACTTGATCCCATGGAGTGACTGAGCAAGTATAACCCTCAGCAAGACGTTTAGTGTGGTACTTTTATGTAATGAGTTGCATTTTGAAGAAAAAGATGGAAGGAGCAGTGTAAATATTTAATGTGTGGCTCACATTCAGTTTCGGGAACTTTACTGTCCAGTGGGAATGGGGTTCCATTTTAGGAGGATGTGGAGACAGGGTGGTGATGAGTGTGTTCTGTACTCTCAGACGTTTGAGTACGAGTGAGGGCAGAGTGAACTACACAGGCTGTTGGCAGTGTCTTTTGCATGTGTCCACTTTACTCAGAGCTTTGATTGGATTAAGGCACCGTTTCAGTCCTGGAACTTTGTTCTTACCTGTCCTTACCCCATCCACCCAAACCATGCCCCTGGCCGCTGTTCACTTGCCGTTGGGTCCCTCTGAAGGAAGCCAGGGCAGAGCCCCGTGCTGTGCACCCATGCTCCTCCCTCCTCTCAGGTTCTCTCACGTGTCCGCCTCTGGAGGAGGGCTTTTCGTTTGCTTGAGAAGAGACACCTTTGCAGAATGTCTTCCTTTCCCCTTCTGAGGGAAAAACCCTTTTTCCTTATGTGGCAGTTTACCATCAGGAGTCTAGATGTAAACTTATTTTTTGTTTGTTTGTTTGTTTTTGTTTTTTCGAGACAGGGTTTCTCTGTATTGTTTTGGAGGCTGTCCTGGAACTCGCTCTGTAGACCAGGCTGGCCTTGAACTCACAGAGATCTGCCTGCCTCTGCCTCCCAAGTGCTGGGATTAAAGGCATGCACCACTAACGCCCAGCTCAAGATGTAAACTTTTGAGTTTTGTCAGGTTTCTTTTTTTCCTTCACATGGGAATGTGCTATCTAGCAGAGTATTTGGGGCACATTTAGAAACATATTTTTGTAGATAGGCAAATTTTCTGTAAACAGATAATAGATTCTTTAGTTGTACGTAAATATAGTCAAATATTAGAGACAGATCAAGATAACTAGCAGGTCAGCATATTTGGAAAGAGTTGTTATATATCCTATATATTCTTTCTCTGTGATGGAGCAGGTCACATTGAGAACATGTGCACACTAAGCTCAAGATAACAGCAAAAGGCTACAGTTACGGCTTGCATAAGCAAGGGTTTGTTTTTCTTCATCAGAGCCAGCAACACTCCTGGATCCAGCAGTCTCCACGGTTGTCCATTCAGCAGGGCTGACCTTCCATCTCCTTGGAAGTGTCCTTCCTTTTAAAGGACCTGTTTTAGTCTATGAGGCAAGGAATATTCTTTGCCTGTCATTCAATTTACAGTGTTCTAGAACACTTCTCTGAGACCCGTGGATACAGTGTTATATTCTGATATTTTTACTCTGCATCTGGTAACTGTAACAAATGAAGAACTTGAGAGAAGTTCTTTGAAGACTGGAGAAGAATAATATGTTGTGTGTCATCATCTATGTCAACTATTTGTAATTCATAATGATGCTTGCACCTTTTATACTGTTCCCCTCCTTCCTGCATCTTCTCCAACCTCTGACTCGCTGATGCTCCTCACATGACTGCTGTCCTCTACCAACTCTGATGTCTTGGTTTCACAAGCTCTGTTACTCAGATCTCACTTCTGTTTTTACATGTTTTCCTGAGTAATCTTTCACCCCAAGTAGCGCTCCTATCTCATGTCTAGATATCAGTCTGTATTTCTAATGTTGTATCTCTTTCTACACAAATGATTCATCAACATATTAAAATATAGCACTCATTTTATTGATCTTGTTATTCCCCCCCCCAAAAAAAAGAATCAGTCAATCAGCAGGGGAAAGCATCTGCTCAGAAATGTATGTTCAAGAGAAGAATGTGTACATGAAGGTGTATGTATGCTATGTACACATATGTACAGACACATACATATATACACACAAGAAAGAACATAAGCCATTGGGAAGAGAATGTTTACTTAATTGATGGTTTTAGAAAAATTGGTTAGCTATTTAGAGAAAATATTTGTAGCTCATGTGAATAAGTAAAATCTGTATATATGTATTTATATATATGTGTGTGTATATGCATATACACATAAATATATGTGACATATATATAGCCTATGTAGTATAACATTATGTTACATTTAACCTGTAAGTATATATGTATATATGATATATATGATATTATTATATGTTATATATAAGTGTATTATATATATTTACAAGTTAAAAGTAAAATTAAACTACAAACAAAATATAGGAGAATACTCACTTGTTCTTGGGATAGGAAGATATTTTATAAGCATAAGAGTAAGAAGAAAATCTCATAAGGCAAAATTACATTGTTTTGTATATTTTAGTCATCCAACAAGTATTTATTGACCCACTGATTCTTTTAGGAGTCCATTCTTCAAAAACAATTTTTTAAAAGTGGATTAGAACTTATCTGCAGAGATGTCCACAGCAGGACTGTTTGTAATAATGTGAAATTGGAAACAACCAGAATTTCCCCAGTGGTGGGAGAATGGTTGAGTAAATTGTGATAAATGTATACAGTGAAGTATTGTGAAGCCACTAATAATGTTTGTGAAGATGTTTTAGTGGGATAGGAAACTGCTAAATATAAAAATTTCATTGAGATGAGTAGAATATATGTGTAGATAGATCACTTAATCATCTTTTGCCTCAGTTTCTTATTTGCAAAGTGAAGGTAATGTATTAGACTCATTGGATTTTTATGAGAGTTAAATGAATAAACTCTTTTAAGACGCTTAGTCACTCCAAGTAATATGTGCTTCATAAATCTAACTTATTAGCGTTAATACATAGTGGCTGGTGACTTTCATCTTTACAAAGACTCCCTTGAGTTATTAAGCACCATTTTGTTGCCAGCAACAGCAAAAGTAACTGATACAAACAACAGTTGGTATTGTTATTTGCATTTTATCAGTTCAATGTTCTAGACCACAAAAATAACCCAATGCCCCATCACCATAGATACATTGAAAATTATGTGAGCTATAATAGTATATTAGACAAAGTCATTTCTCAAAAAAATAATTTGCAAAATAGAAGGCTGCCATGATTTATTTTAATGTGTCCTTATAAATAAGAGATTTTCTTTGTTCAGATAGACTAAAGTCTTTGTCTGTAGCACACATTTGGTCTATATGATTTGTTTTGCCTGCAGATGTGTTAAAGAGATGCCTATGACCACAGAACCCCAAAGTGGCTATAAGAGAATGGTGCTTTAAGTGTTTACTAAGGGCAGTCATAAACACTCACTGAGTACGTTCAAAGTGCATGGGATTATCTCCTGATTTAGTAAAAACCAGACTTCTACTTAAATTATAATATGTCCTTTCCTTTATGGTTGCCTTCATTCCTTCACGAGGCTGACGTTTTTTCTCTCTACCAAGTGCTGCCCTGTACTAGCTCTGGAGAGACAGCTGTGAGTCAGGCCATCTGGCCCTCATGGAGCCACTAAGCACATTGTGATAACGCCTGCTAATACATGTGTAAGCAGTAGAAATAAAGTGTGCTTGAGGAAAACGTAGGATGAGCAGTCCTAATACAAGGAATTTGTAAAATTGAGTAAGCAAAACATAAATGGAATGTACAGATGGGTGCTGGCTACTTTTATGTCAACTGACATAAGCTAGAGTCATCTAAGAGGTGGGAGCCTCAATTGAGAAGATGCCTCTATAAGACTGTACACAAGCCTGTAGAGCATTTTCTGAATTAGTGATCGATGTGGGAGGGCCCCGCCCGTTTTCGGTGGTATTGGGCTGGTAGTCCTGGGTTCTATAAGAAAGCAGTCTGAGGGAGCCATGAGGAGCATTCCTCCATGGCATCAGCTCCTGCCTCTAGGTTCTTGCCCAGTTTGAGTTCTTGCCTTGGCTTCTCTCAATGCATTCAGGATATGTAAGTCAAATAAACCTTTTCTTCCCCAAGTTGTGTTTAGTCGTGGTGTTTTAACACAGTAGTAGTGACCCTAATTAAAACAAGAGGCCAGAAGAAAACCAGGTTATGACTAGGGATTAGAACACAGTCCGTATGCCACCAGCAGTGAGTAGCACTGGTGTCTGCCCTCCATCGATACCTTATGTCTGCCTGCTTTTCCACAAGTTCAAGTGACCTGGTTTGTCCATCTTTTCTCTTCCCTCCCTTCCCCAGACTAGAATCTGTAAGGGTGGCTATGGAGAGTAAGTGCCCGAGGGAGGACTTCCAGGTTGCTAATGTTGCCGAGGAGTGAATGCCTGTCTCCCACTAAAAAGGTGACAGAGCCTCCAGACTGCCTCAAGTGGGAGGCCACCAGTCAGCAGCCCTGGAGAGTCATGTAGAATGTTTAATGAGCACTCGAC